CCAGGACCCCTCTCAGCACCCCACAATGGCTCTGTCCATCCCATATGACACCCACTGACCCCATCCAAGCTCCCAAATTTTCAGCCACCCCATGAAGGCTCTGAAGGAGGCTGCCACCACCTCCCTTCGCTGAGATCATGTCCAACCTCCCTTTCTCCAGCTCCTCCCCTCCCAGTCCCCTCCCATTCCCCAGAATTGCCCCAGTTAGGCCAGGGACAGGCTGGAATGACCCCTCTGCTCCTTGCTGCACCCCCAGCTCCCTCTTCTCCCTGACCCAGGATCTGCTGTGAGCCCAGGGTTCCTCCTGGGATGGTTTGGGAGCTGTAAGAGGAGATGCCAGGGATTTGGGTGGCATTTGTGAGCGAGGCCAGCCTGTCCCATGGGAGCAGCCAGCTCAGGAGCTGGAGGGGAGAGGATGAAGGGAGGAATGAGAAACCCAACACCCTTCTTGGCTCTGTCGTGCTTAATTTAGAGCACAGGGGCTCTGCCAGAGTGTTTTTCCATTTAAAGCTGAACCTCTTCCCTTTTGTCCTGCACTGTGCCTTGCAGGGCAGCGGCAGCTGATGGCTGGGGCTGCTTGGGGCGGTCAGCAAAGCAGTTTCCAAACCAATTCCCTTGTCCCACCAGCTTCTTCCCCATTTCTCCCACATCAAAACTGAAATCCATCTCCTCCTGCCATCCCTGTCCTGCTTTGGGAGGGCAGGAGCCACCCAGAGCCCCAATCCACAGCTTTGAATTCCCATGGGATGGGCTTTGACCCCCCAGCTGATCCTGTGCCCCTTGTCCAAGCAGATTTCAGGGCAGGGAGAGCTCTCCTGTGTCAATACTATGTTTAACCACCCTAATGCCACTCAATTAATGTTACAGCCACTTTGGAAAGCTCTTTGCAGGTAAACTGCTGGCAAGAGGCCCAAAGGAAAGGAGGACAATTCATCAAAGATCATTTATTGCCAGCAGCTCAGCTGTACTTTGAAATGGGATCCATCCATCAGCACTTGATGGCTGCTCCATGGAGGAGCTCTGCCCAGCTCCAGGGCAGGAGATAAATTTTGTTTTTCCAAGAGTTTGGAGAACTCACATTTGGAGTTAAGAACTGTCCAAGTCCTAACAAGGAGTGCCCATAACTAAATACTGGCAGTAAAATTAACTTTAACTGTACCCACCAGCCTGTGCCAGAGATGTCACCTCTAGCCTGTCACCACCATCAGCTGCAGGGAGAGGCTGAAAAAACTCAGAGCTTATCAAAAAGCTGCCTGGGACACGACTTCTCACTGGATGAGGTTGTCCCAGTGAGGAAATGCTGGGGACTCACAGTGCTTTTATCTGAGACAGGCAAAACGATGGCTGGCTGCAAACTGGAGCCAGAGAAATTCAAATTTGAACTGAAACACAGGATTTTAACAGGCTGGTGTTTATCCATGAGGGAAAAATAAAACACTGAAAGTTCTGAGGGAAGCAGGGGCTTGTGGTGATTCCATATCAGCTGTATCCCTGAAAGAAATGTGTGCTGGAGAGATCCTGGGGCTGAGGATCTCCAGTGTGGGGGATTTTTCAGGCAGAGAGAACAATATTGTCATTGTTTTTGTTCTCTGAGTGATGGGCAGGGGCTACTACTCCCAAGGTCTGCCAGGGCTTCTTATATTTAGCAAAATGCTGCAAGAAAATTGGTCTCATTTCTTGAAAACTGGGAACCAGCAAGAGCCAGAGAGGTAAAACGATGGCTGGCTGCAAATTGGAGCCAGAGAAATTCAAATTAGAACTGAAACACAGGATTTTAACAGGCTGGTGTTTATCCATGAGGGAAAAAAACCCCAAAACACTGAAAGTTCCAAGGGAAGCAGAGAGTTGTGGTGATTCCATATCAGCTGTATCCCTGAAAGAATTGTGTGCTGGAGAGATCCTGGGGCTGAGGATCTCCAGTGTGGGGGATTTTTCAGGCAGAGAGAACAATATTGTCATTGGTTTTGTTCTCTGAGTGATGGGCTGGGGTGCATAAAATTGGTCTCATCCTTTGAAAACTGGGAACCAGCAAGAGGCAGCACGGGGAGAATTCAAGCCAGGTCACTCTGGGGAAGTGCATTTCAAAATCCTGAGAAGCCCTGGACGTTGTGCACTCCCTACTGTGACAGGAGCCAGATTGCCCATTTCCATCAGCAGCAGCTGCTCGCAGGTACAGGCTGCCTAAATAAACTGCTTTATAGTGGTTGGGTTCTTTCTTTGGTAAGCATTTGGTGGTGCAGAAAAAAGGAGAAAACGTCCATGTTCTGTGAGATCCCAGTTTCCTCCCTGTGCTTCAGGGGCTGACTCCAAGCCCTTTTCCTGGAGAGAGGTTTGATCTTCACAGCTTCCCTGGGCCAGGGCACAAGGAAGGGCAGCAGATGCCTCTGCTCTGCTCCTGGGAAATAATTATTGATTCACACTCCTGTGTAAGTGAAATCAGAACCTGCAGCTCCAAGTTCCAGCCTGAATTTAGCAGCACAGCTCCCACAGCCCTGCTCCTGCTCAGGCAGCTTTTCCAAGGGATCTGCTCCCTCCTGCAGCTCCTTAAAATCCCCACCAGAGGATTCCTCCCCTCCACAGAGCATCAGCATGGAGCTGAAACCAAAGCTGTGGCTCCTCTCAAGCCAGGATATATTCCTCAAGTTGTCCAGAGATGATTGAGGGTTGCAAGATGCTTTTTCCTCTGATGATACTGGCAGGAAAAATATCACAATAAAGCAATAAAGCAGGATGGTCCTGCTTGTTGTGAGAGAGCTGGGCTGAGCTCCAGGGCAGTGCAGCAGCCCCATGGGCACAGGGAGGGTTAATTCCCTGCTAACTTCCAGGTGCTGAGTTGCTGAGTTTATCCCCAGCTCCCTGACTTCCTCCATCAGGGACTCCTAAAACTGTTTGAAAAGAAACATTTCTTGAAGAGAGATATTTCTGAACCTAAACAGGAAAAAAAGACAGGAACAACACATCTGGAGTGACTCCTGCTCTGCTTTTTTCCACTCTGCACAGGGGAGTTAGGATGAAACCCAAAAATTCACTTTGCACTGGTGTATTTAGCCCTGAAATGCAAATTCATGGTGGTGCTGCCTGGGGTTAAAGCCTGACAAACTTCAGGCTCATAAAAAGAGGCTGACAAAGCAAAGGAGAAAAAAAAAGAAAAGCTTTCAAGACTTTCAAGTGAGAAACAAAGCAGCACTGTACAAACATGCCTGGCTCTCCATTTGCCTGGAATCCCCAAGGCTGCTCTGCACTGGCAGGCTGCATGGCAATGCCTGATTAGCTTGCACTCTGTGTCCTCACTGTGCTGCAGCAGAGAAGGACAGGGCTGCCAGGGTTTGCAGCAGCTCCAAAAGTCCCAGCACTGCTGCAGTGAGGACCTGCCTGCATTTTATAACATTTCTTCCCAGGGAGAACAAGATCTGCCTGATGGATGAATGCAGAGACCCAGAAATAGGGAATTCATAACCTGGATGGCAAGTTTTTTATGGAATGAGCTGAATTTAAGGTAGGTTGACTCATTGCAGGGGTAATTTGCACAGCTTTTCAGTGGAAACTCAGAAAACTGCTGCATGTTCAAGCAAAGAGAGAGGTTGGGATGATGAGAGGAGCCCACCCAGAGCTGATTTGCAGATAGTCCCAGGCCAGGCTAATCCTGTGCCTGGGCACTGGAGTGCTACAGAAAGCCTGAGACAGGCAGGTAGCAGTGTGGGATAAAAACAGAGCTTCTTTTGTTCTAAGGAAGGGGGCTGGCCTAACTTTTGTACAGCAAATTCCTTCCTGAGCTGATAAGGCAGCAGCAGATTGAATATCAAGCCCTGCCAGGGAACACTGTGCTGGAACCTGGAAGGTTTTGTCCCAAATCCCCCTGCAGAACTGCAGCTTCCCAAACTACACCCACCACCCTGCTTGCCAAGCCTCAGAGACAGAAAGTGCTGACACATAAAACCTTCACTTTTTGTATTTCATCTCTGCTTCTCATCCTCTCCTGCAAATGCTGAAGAAGTGACACGATCTGAGGCTGCAAAATGACACTGGTGCCTGGGCTCTGTCCCTGCTCTGCAGCACAAAGGTCTGGCAATATCTGGATTAACTCTTTGGTGTGTGGGGCTGAACAGCCTCTGCAAACCCATCCCTCACTTTCTCCATTGTGGCTTGATGCAGTTAAAAATCCTCCCCTTTGGCTGCCACAGTCTCCTTCAGAGCTGCCTTCACACTTTTGTTCTCATCCAGCTGGAAGCCAAGCCTGCAAGGAAACAAAAGGAAAAAAACCTCTCTGTGAGCTGGGGAGCTTCAAAGCAAACTGAGAACAGTCACCTGTGTTGTGGGGACAAAACACTGAAACCCAGAGTCCTGAGAAAGAGCAAAGTGAGCCCTCGCTCCTCCTCTCCCTGAGGGAGAACAGAGCAATCCCAGCAGGGAGGAAGGGAGAACATAACACACCTCCTGCTCAGCTCCTCCAGCTGAGACTCCAGGGGCAGCTCAGACAGGGCTGCAGAGAGCTCCTCTCTGTCACTCACATGCAAGGGGAGGCTGGCCTGGCCTGCAGATTCAATCACAGAATGGAGTTTTAGTGAAACAGCAAATCAGTTTTGGCACCATGCTGAGTCAGTGGCAAAAAACACTGAATTTATTCTCTCAAATAAGGTACTTAAATCACTTAAACAAATATTTAATCTCCTAAATTCTAGGTTATACCCTTAACATATCATAAATATATGACAGAATTATTTTAATTTCCTTCCAGTAAAATGAAAACATGATGAATTTACATTTCAGGGCTAAATATGTGCCTACATATGTAGGGAGGAAAACAATGAAGAACAAGAGGTTACAAACACCTGAAAAGGGTTAATTTGATGTTAATCTTGTAATTGTGTTTCAGATTATGACAGCTTGTTGCTTCCTGAATGTCTGGGACAAAGTTTGCACGTGGCACCCATTGAAACAACTTTTGTAAAGCACTTTGATCCTCAGCATAAACAAAATGTAGGTTAAATGTACTTCAAACCAAGGTTCTCACTCAGGAATGCTTTCTTAAATAAAGGTCTGCCCAAAACATGCAGCTCTGGTCATCCCAAAATAATTCATAAAATTTTTTCAGGGTGACAGAGAACATATAATTCAAATTTATAGCTGGGACTGAAGAAGCAAAAGCTGTGAGCAGTGAATGGCTGCAGTGGAAGGAGGAGCAGAGAAGTGCTCAGGGAGCTCAGAAAGGAGAGCAGGAAGGGAGCAGAGCTATTGCAGAGATGCTGAACTCATCCCAGCCCTGAGGGACTGCAGGGTCATCTCTGCTCTGGACAGAAAGCTGAATCATTTTAGTAAATGGAAATAAATGGCTTTCTCTAAAATAATGAATAGTCAGCACTACCTACCTGGAGCCAGGTAATATGAGGGAAGGATTTGTGTGGATCAGCCCTGGATAAATGATAAAAATCAAGAAAGCAGCTAAATGAAGAGAACAACAGGCTGGAGCTGGCTGCAGTCCTAAGTGGGAATCCAGCACCAGGACAGGGAACAGCCAGGCTGGAATTTTGCTCTGCTCCTACTGAACACTGCAATTGCTGGTTTGTGCTTGTGTTGTCGTGTTAGCACATTTCTGTATCCCTCTGCCCAGTTCATTTCCCTCATAATATCAAATATCTTCAAATTTGGTATTAAAACACCAAATCCTCCTTGTGTGGAATTATCTGAAAGAACCTGGTTGGAGAGCACTGAACTCTGACAAAAACAAATGAGAAGAAAAGGCTGCATTGTACAGCTAAAAAATGCTTTTGATCTTGAGGCTGTGCTTTACAGGGCTGAGGAAAACCTGCTGTTACCTATGCCTCCTCTGGGATTATTCTTTGATAATTTGGAATTTGGATAAAACAGGAAAAAAAGCACAGAAAATGAAAAGCCTGAATGATTTAAAAACACAACTGGGTTGTTTGCAGCTCCTCAGCATCATTATCTACTTCCCTTGAATTGAAGGGACCAGAAACATTAGATTGGAATTAGATCAGCTCTCTACAATTTTGTACTTTCAGAAAGAAAGGAAAATATTATGTTAATTAGCAGGTTCTCTAGTCTCTATTTTGTATTCAAGCTTTTTATTTTTTTCTTATTTCCTCAACCACTGGCATGAAAGCATTGAGATAACCTCCATGTTCTGCTGAAGAGGTGTACTACAGACTTGGTTCTTGTACAAACTCCAATTTTGGCACATCACAAAGCTCTCATCAAAGCAGGAGAGTGAAATAGATTGTTACCTACTCATCTCATGGATTTAGAGAGGATTTCTCCTTATTAGCCTTCCTGCCAATCCTTTTCTACTTTTGCTTTTAGTCCTTAAGCAGAGGAGATTAATGAACTAAATATTTAGTGAGAAGGGATCTGTCACTGGTGAAAACAGCTTCCTCCTCTGGCTATGAAATGCCAGCCAGCATTTCATAGGGGAGTTACTAAAACTTTACTACAGCACAACAAAACTTGACCAAAAAGCGCCAGGAGCTGGAGAGTTTGTCTCTCAAAAAGAAGATTTGATAACAGAACACATCAACACTTCACCAGGCTGTGTAAAAGTCTGAGCACTCAGAAACTCAGTTAAATTCTGTACAAAACAGCACCAAAATGCTCCCACACTTCTGGGATCGAAATTTTTCTGCTCTCAGCTAATACAGGTGAGACAACTCTGAGAATCAGTGCTCATAAAAAACCACATGAGAATGAGTCAGAGTGGGCTGGAGCCCCTTCCCAGGACACAGCAAGGAACAAATCCATCTTTTACAGAGAGAAGCAGGTCTGAAGCACATATTCAGTATAAAGGTTCCTCTGAAGGCCTCATCCAAGGTTTCTGATGAGCCCTGTGGTCACCCTAACTCAGCCTGACACCACCCCAACATTTGCCAAATTGAAATTCCCCTCCCTGCTGTTCATCTTCTGGCATTTGAAGTCTTTTTACTTTAGGAAAATACACATAAAAAGGGAAACCACTGGAAAATTTTCCTTAAGAATATGTGCCATTTTATTGGTTTAGACACTTTACAGAATCAGAGTCCTTAAGCAATAAAAGGATCTGATCAGGGAAATAAAAATTTAACATCCACCGTGAATTCTTCTTCTTTAACTACGCCAGGGAGGCTTTCATATTTATAGCAGGAGATTATCACGTTCATGGGATAATAAATTACACCAGATCTAATTACTTCATCACCAGCAATAGTTTTTCATAGGCACTGACAGGCCTTAAATTGGGATATGTCCTTTAATTCTGCTCTTAACCTTCAGCTGAATCCCTCAGGCATGAGTGCAAAGAGCTCTGGGGGCAGCACAGAGCAGGGAAAAGCTTTTTTTTTCCTGGAATTATCCCATGGAAACACACTGCAAAAATCCTGGTCCCCCTCAGAGCTGAGGGCAAAGCCTCTCCAGTGGAGAAGGGCCAGGATTTTGCCTCCTGCCTTGCTGTTGGCTCTGAGCAGGTCCCATCACCACGTGCAAGGTCAAGCACTGGGCTGGGTTTGGCAGGTGGAGCCCAAATGCTGTCACTGCCTGTAAAGGCCAGAGGTGAAACAGGGGACGTGGCTGTGGCTGAGTGTGGAAAGGGATTTTCTTTCCTGGAAAAATCCCTTTGCACAGGATTCTTCTCCTGAGAAGCTGAGAAGCCTCAGAGAAAAATGAAAACAATAATTATCTAATTTGCTTCTCCTGTGTTTTGCTGCTTTGGAATGTGTTTGGAGATTGTTTCACTGG